TGACAGACTGGCTGACTGTTGGGGTGGAAGATCGAGTAGATGTTGCCAAACTTGTAGAAGTAGATTCTGTCCCTGAGAGAGATGGAACCGAGCAAGAAGAAGGAGGGACTCTTGGGGTTTCCCCCTCATTGCTGCCTACGTCATCGCCACCACTACCACCAGCTGCGATGCTCCCACTACCAACACTACTTGGTCCGCCTGCACCCAGTATACCTGTTGCCTGTAGGATATCTGCCAGGGCATTGTTGTTGCTAACAGTGCTGCCTTCCGGACTCAGATCTACCACGATGACATTGCCCTGGGACGTTGGGGTACTGCTGCTGGGAGTCACACTGGAAGCTGTCACAGTTCCCCGTGGGCCTGATGGCTTCTGCAAGACAGTTGTGCTGCCACTACTGCTAATGCCCTTCCCGATAGTAATCTTTGTAGGAACATCCTGAGGATTGATAAGTAAAAAAAAAAAAAAAAAAATGTCAGATTAACACATAAAAAGAAAAGAAAGAAAAAAGTAGAACAAAAATATATTCCATATAATAATAGATAATTACTTATAAATAAAATTGTAAATATACATGAATAAAGCTTCTGCAAAACTCACCCTGATACCCTGAATACCCACTGGGCGTGTCCCTGGAGGAGGGGCTCCTTTGTGAACAACAATAACATTGGATTTTGTGCCGCCAAGAACAGGCCTGAGTCCAGCTGGCCCTTGAGGAGTTACTCTAACTGTCTGCACAGTTTTAGGCCCCACAGATACAACTGTCGCTGGAGATGCTGTTCGAACTCCACTAACTGAAGACTTTGGTGCATTGATGGTATTTACTGTGACCACCCGAGGTCCTGTGCCTGCAAAATAGTTGCAAGACTTTGGTAACTAAATATCAAATCATTTTCAATCTAGAATATAGCATCAACTAGAGAGAAATCAACAATTTTCCTTCCTACCCTAGAAAGGAATAAAATAAATTTCACCGTCCTTACCCTGTCCTGCGGCAACTGTCCGAGTGACAACCGTAATTGTTCCTGAGTTGGTTGTGACAACATAGAGGGGACCACCTGAGCCTTGAGGGGAACTAGGTGGCAAGATAGGTGTTCTACCCACTAATCTATTAGGCGCACTGGGACCAATTCCTGCACTGCTGCTTCCTCCTCCTGTGCTTGAATTACCACTGGGAACTCCCATGGTACTACTGCTGCCTGCTACAGTGTGTGTGATGATTTTTGCTCCTGCTGCTAATGTGGGATTTTGAAAGATGTATAAATACCATTATATTCCTGCTGAAATGAATACTGACTTAAAGGCTAATATGTTCAAATTATTGACACTGTATAAATACATATATATATACATATGGGTTACCAGTCAAACTTACTGCCTTCTTGACGTATCTGTATGGCTGTCTTGCCTGGTGTAACAGGTGTGCCAGGTCGCACCTAAAATGCAAAAAAAATACATCATCATTTCTCACTATTCCTCCACAAACAGAACTCCCAAAGGACATCCTCTGCTTACATTTGAATTTTAGTAGTAAATCCATTTTGCTTGCCTGAATAGTCTGGTGAGTCATAAGATGTGTGGGCTGTAGGCTGTGCTGAGAGGCAGCCTGACCAACTATACTTGGGGGTCCACCTGAGTAAGAGGCCATGGTGCTGATGTGGCTGCTGGAGGTTAAACTGCTGCCTCCACTGACTGACCCAGACTCCACTCCTGGATGCACAGAAAAGGGAAAAAAAAGGAAAAAAGATTTTTAAAATAATAAATAAATAAATAAATAAGAAAGATAAAAGGGGGATATATATATATATATATATATACATATATATATATATATATATATATATATATACATATATATATATATATATATATATACGTATATATATATACATATATATATATATACATACATATATATATATATATACATACATATATATACATATATACGCATATATATATATATATATATATATATATATATATATATATATATATATATATATATATATATATATATACATACATACATACATATACATATATATATATATATATATATATATATATATATATATATATATATATATATATATATATATATATATATATATATATATATATATATATGTAAAATGTCTATCCATATATAGACAAATACAGTGGTGGGTGTATTTCACTTTAAAAGTAATGGCTTTACCATTACTATTACTTGCATAAAAATATTATCTAATTACTAAATACTTTAATCCCTCTGAGAAGTACTTAGTCCTAGTTAACATTCCTTTTATGGCATTTGAAAAACAAGCTCTTGGTCATTATAAGATACAAGGGGATGCACGTCCACAGGTGTTCTCAGACCAATTACCCAAAAAAGCATTTATTATTTTGTTGGTTCAAACTTTCATCCATAATACAAGCATTGATAGGACCATCCTTACCCTGTCCTGCGGCAACTGTCCAAGTGTAATAATCAGGATAAATTTTTCTTTATTGTTGCAGAAATAGTAAGCAAAAGTCAGAATTACCTAACAGACCGAACTCAGTGAAGGAATACTTATTCTGATTTCTTTTTTACTCTTGCATAGTGCAATGTGGCCAAGTCATCAAATTGTAATACGTCATTCTTTTAAATAAAATCCATTGGCAAATCAATAGATCTTGAATACAGGGAAAAGAAAAAAAGTTTACAATTGATTTTACTGCAATTACTCACTCTTTACTTCAAAAATTAGTTATCTATAAGTAAAGGAAATAAATACTTTGCAATTCAGATATTAATTATTTCACTACTTATTGGTAAAGGAAGACATGAAAATTATAAATCTACTGTTAATTATTTGAATAGTATTTAAGAAAAATTAATTTTTCAAAATTTGAATCTGTAAGGTCTCTTCCTACTTTAGGTGTAGGATGATTTTCCCAATACAGAAAGTTTTTTCCACTGCTACACTTGAAGATACTGGGATGTTAAGTTCTAGAAAGACTAATTTAAATACAGAAGAGGGGAAGCATGATACCTCCAGTTTGTTTAACAAGCCTACTAACAAATACAGACTTGTTTCACATTAGTTTTATTTTATATGCTTCTCAGGATCTTTGGATTTAGAGGGAGTTAGACCTCTTGTACAGTGGATACACTTGTGAAATTATATTTTATATAGAAACACAACACCAAAGCCATCATCATTACAACAAAAACTACGAGCATTGATTAACACCATTACACCCACCACTGTATCTATATGTACTTCGAGAGAATGGATCATGGAAAAATTATATCAATTTAAGTATGTGTAAATCTATATGCCCAGACTAATACAAATAATATGTAAAAAATTTCCAAACACTACCCATACCTAAACGCCCACGGTCAGAACCCAACAATCACTGTTGAAGCCCTTACCTCTCTGTGTTATCCCTGGTTCTGTTTGAAGTACGAGAGAGTTTGATCGCTGACGCGGCCTTGGGGGAAGAGCACTGCTTGGGACTCGAGGCCTCATTCTATTGACATAGGTTCCTGGTGGCATAACTGAAAATAATTACTCTTTTGTGTAATCATCTCTATATAGACTAATCCTTAAAATTTATATTTGTAAAGAGTACTGGCAAGTATATTTTATAGATCTTCACTGTCTGTACCCATTTGTATACTTATAATGGATTTTTTGTTCTACTGCCTTCATATAACACTTAATTGTTCACAAATATTTTTCTTTTAATAAGGCATCACCTCCCTTTCCCCAAAAATCCAATTTCAATGAAAATGCTAAAACAATGAAAGATTTTTTTTTTTTTTTGGGGGGGGGGATATCTGTACAAGCAACAGAAGAATAATTATCATTCAGAAATAAAAATATTTCTGCATGAGAGATTACTTTACTCACCAGACTGAACCATACCTGCTGAGGCAGTTGGAGTACCACTAGAGTAAGTTGAGGGAACAATCATGCTTCCAGATCCAATGTTTCCACCAGCTGAAACAGAGTTAATTTTAACCTTAGTATTTTAGTATGTTAAATCTTCCCTCAATTCAATGAACTCATAATGAACTCACCACTTAGGGGGGCCGTCGTGCTCGAGATCAAAGCTCGTTATTTATGTTTGGATTTTCGCGATTTTTTAATATGATATATATACATATACGGTGATAAATACCACCAAGTTTCATATCATTTGAATATTAAACAATGAGTTTATTTTCAAAAAATAAGTTTTTGAAAAATCACAAAATTTGATATTCGCACTTGAAAAAAAATACCACACATAGTCTTTAGCAATACCTAAAATCTCAATTAGACAGATTTTTGAATTTTGTTTTAGTTAGTGGGAATTTATTTTTTTCTAAATGCTCAGTCTTATGAACTTAAGATATAACATATGGACTTCTAGTATCATCTTCTATTATCCTCAAATAGAAAAAATGCAAATTTTTTCAGCTTTCAAATGATCCAAACCCCATTAGAATTGTCAAAGTAGTTATGGAGAAATATAAGAAAAAAAACATTGACAAAGGTGTAGTTTTGAGATATTGGGCTCCTAAGTTCAGGATACTTTTCCCTTGATTTTTTTCCCCCGTTTTTTTTAGACTTCTTATCTCTGCATCAATCTTGCTGCATTCTATGGCATTCACATGGTATTCTGAACTGTAGCTGGTAACTGGTCCCCCCCTTTTGCAAAGTACTAATGGCAATAACTGCACATGATTGTCATCATCACAGGCTTCGCAGTGCCTAACCTGACCACAAGAGGTATTTCATATGCATAAACAACTGCTGCAGCTGTGACTGAGAATTATTTCTTATCATTGGATACAAAAATAACATCTACCAATAGTTGTGTCCCCTTACTATGTGATGAGGGCATACGTCTGCGAGATGGTGTCATGGAGGAAGGAGGTAGCAACAAATTGCTCTGATTTCTGGTGGAGTTTTGTCTCCCAGAGTCCCAGTCTTGGTGATCAGCTGATGGGTAAACAGAGTTGCCAGCTAGCTACCAGAGA